TACTGTATATATATATATATATATATATATATATATATATATATACTGTATATATCTAGTACAGGCATTAAATTCTAGATGGTGCAGGCTGACTAAAGGTCCTTTAGATGCAATCTGCTAGCAATCACACCAGTTACTACTACATGTCACAAGCTGACTGGTCTCTGCTGATTCTGCAGCCAACGTTTCCTTGCTCAACATTTAAATAGTCTGAAATAGTCTGAATCAGTGTCTGCTGTTAGCTGATCCAACAGTGCAGTTCCTCTAAAACCCTCCACCTCCCCCAGCTCCACATGTTCAGATAGATCTGTATGTAAAATATTGTGACAAAACTTTCCCTTTACTTTAAGTCATAAAAAGTTTTTGAATAGTCAAGAAACTTAAAAGGCATAGTTTTCACCATAGCAACTTATGAATAAATTTTTTTACACACATCAGTAAGATTTAAAAAAAAAAAAAAAAAACTGTAGTATTGTGAAACATTATTGCAATTTAAAATAATAGTTTCTATTTTAATATACTTTCAAAATATAATTTATTTATGTGATGCAAAGTTGAATTTTCATCAGCCATTACTCCAGTAATCAGTGTCACATGATCCTTCAGAAATCATTCTAATATGCTGATTTAATATCAGGTTTTCTTCTTTTTTTTTTTTACCTGTAATACATTATTTTTATTTAATTAAGCATTTATTTAAAATATAAATCTTTTTTTAACAATATACACTACTTTTAAAAAATTTGGGTCAGTAAATTCAGTAAGAAATTCGTTTTTTTTTTTTTAGCAAGGTTGATTAAAATGATAAAAAGTCATAGTAAAGAATTACATTGTTAGAAATGAATAAATTAGGTTCTTTTATTTTTATTCATCAAAGAAGATGAATAAAAAAATAAAATAAAAAAAATAAGCAGCACAGCTGTTTCCAACAATCAAAATCAGCATATTGTTATATATATTAAAACATTCTGTTTGTGTATTTTGTATTTTTCCTTTAGGAAACACAGCTGGTCAAAGAGGAACACAGGAGCATTTCTCTTTTAAAAACTGTCTGATAAAGACAGTTTGAACCAAAACAAACTCTTTTCCAAATAGAGTATTATCTTCCCCATGCAGAACCTTGAACGCCTCTAAGCTCTGAAAACACTGCTGACATTTTTGTGGTCTGTATTTTGCCATTCCTTCACTGCCGTTTTTGTTCACAAATAAATGCATGAATTAAAGCACTAAGAAACGGAAGACATGGATTAGACATGTCAGAACAAGAGCTGTACCATCAACTAAACCTTGTGTGCTCGTAATAATTGATGGTTGTGCACTTGGATTAATTGTGAGGTATCAAATTCTCAGTTCCTGTAAAGTTGCTCACACAGTCAAGCATGGCACTAAAAACTACACAATCAATGACATACGTTTGGGAAAGGACTGTCTGACTGGCCGACCCATAGCAGACAGAGTGAATATTC